TTTAAATTTATTTACCTAAATATTCAGAAACTTTCCAATATTTTCTTTAAAAAAGCAAATTTTCTTATATAGTCTATTAGAAATTCTCTCTTTTTACTTGGAATTTATTTACATATTATATATGTTACTGATGTAACAATATATATATATATATATATATGATGATGGTGGTGATGATGATAAGTCAAGTATGATCAAGATTAAATTGAACAAACATAAATTAATATAAATATTAAAATTTAACAAATTTTGAGTAATTTTTACATTTGATTCTCAAAATAAACAAAATCAAAAAACACTAAAATTGTAATTTACACGAAATTTAAATTTGATAATTCAACAAATCAAATTTATTAAATTCAATATTTTCAGCCTAATTTTAATATTAAATTAATAAATTACTCAAAATTTCAGACTAATTGTGAAATTATTAAAATTGGTTTTCAATTCTCAATCCCAAACATTACGAGTGGTAAGTAGGAATTTAATTTTGTGCCAACGCAGGCAAGTCTAATCAACTTCCAACAATGCATACGTATAATATATATATTATATATATATATATATACCCCCTTTTTAATTTTAAATTGAGCAAAAATTCCATTGGTTTTTTTTTTTTATAATTAAATATATTATAATTTATTGATATATTAATAAATTAAATATTAAATTATACTAAATTAAATATTATAAATTTATAATATATTTTATATTAAATATGTTGAATCTGCGCGTGCGTGTGTATATATATATATACTCACACACATATTATTAAAATATTTTTTACTAAAAAAGTTCACATTTTTTTATATTAAATTAACAATTCTATATTTTACGATGAATAAAAAAATCTTAATTGTCGTATTATATGGAGATTGATTAATCATTTATAAAAAAATATATAAGACGTTAAAAAACCCAATCTTAATAATTTTAATTTAAATAACTCGGTAATTATTAAGTTTTTTTTTAAAATTAAATTAATCATAACAGATTAAAAATTCAATCTAATCTTTATTTACTAAAAATTTTATAATTTAAATTATTGAACAGAAGTTTCTCGAACTTAATGTATACTTATAGTAAAAAATGTTATAATAACACGACTATGTTACTCTATATTGGTTTGATATCTTTAATTACCATATGATATATATATATATATATAAAATGTAAACAATGGAGACTATAATTCCATGTTGAAATAATTAGTAAATCACGAATTTTATGTAAAAATTATTTAGATGGTTTTGGTTGAATTTGAGAGAGTAGTAACTTTCGAAGGTGTTTCTGTACATGTGTATATATATATATATATATGTGTATGTATATACACATACGGCATTGCCGTGGTAAATATTTGAAAAAACAACAAAAAAAAAAAATGTTGAAAAAAGTTATGACCGTGAAAGAGTCCCAGTCTGCAATGAAAACGTGTTCTTTTTTTAAGCTTCCAAATTTGAATTATGACCACCTTAGGTTTTTACACTCTTCTTTTTTTTTTTCCCCCCAAACGTGTTTTTTATTTGATTTTGTGGGCGGCTAATGTAATATTTGGAATTAATTTTAAAAAAGTTAAATTAATATATAAAATATAATTTTTAAATTTATAAAATTTTTATTTAATGTAAAAATTAAAAAAATAATAGTAAAATTGAAAATAATTTA